GCCTCAGGTCGCAGACCAGATCCTGAAAATATTCGAGTTGTAAAACTGATGCCGACTCTGACTAATATCTCTGAGCTACGATCATTCCTGCGATTAATTAGCTACTACTCAGCTTTTGTTCCGTCGATGCATGACATACGCGCCCCGCTAAATCATCTTCTGAATAAGAACACCAGCTGAAACTGGACAAAAGAATGTGAAGCTGCATTTTGCAAGCTGAAAGCTATCATAGGCGCTGAACTATTACTGACACACTACGATCCGTCCATACCTATCATTGTCGCTACAGACGCTTCAGCTTTTGGACTCGGTGCTGTCATCTCACATCAGTTGCCCGACGCAACAGAGAAAGCAATTATGCATGCATCTTGCACATTAACTGCAGTGGAAAGAAAATACAGTCAAATAGAGAAAGAGGCTCTTGCCCTTGTGTTTGCAGTACGCCGTTTCCATAAATTCTTGTATGGTCGAAGATTTACTCTTCTCACGGATCACAGGCCTCTTCTCACAATTTTCGGTTCAAAATCTGGTGTATCAGCTCATTCTGCAAACCATCTCCAGCGATGGGCTTTGATACTTTTGGGTTATGATTTTGACATCCAGTACCGGCGCACTCAACAGTTTGGTCAGGCGGACGCCTTGTCACGACTTATCAGCAAACACCATACGGCTGACGAAGATGCAGTTATTGCCTCCCTAATGACAGAGGTCCACGCGCAATGTTATCTGACAACCGCTATTCGAGCCTTGCCAGTCACAGCAGCTGAAATAAAATCAACATCCAAGAACGACTCCATCATAAAGAGAGCGATGAAGTACGTCACCAACGGCTGTCCGCCAACTGGACTTGATGGTGACTTGAAGCAGCTTTACCACCGTCGGGACTCATTGTGTCGTAAATGAATGCTTGATGTTTGGAGATAGAGTAGTGGTACCAGAGTCCCTTAGACCAAGGGTGCTAAAGCAATTCCACACTGGTCATCCGGGTATAAAACGAATGAAATCCATCGCCAGAAGCTATACTTATTGGCCCCTCATGGACCGACATATCGTGGATTTAGTAGGCAAGTGCACACAATGTCAGCAAGTGGCCAAGTGTAACGCGAAAGTACTGCCGGTCCCATGGCCACAGCCTGAGTATCCATGGTCCAGGATACACGTCGATTTCGCAGGCCCAATTAATGGAATCACCTACTTAGTCGTTGTTGATGCCTTTTCGAAATGGCCAGAAATCGTTCCCGTCATGCCACCAACGACAACCCGAATGAAACTTTTGACAGACATGTTCTCCCGCAACGGATTACCGGATATAATTGTATCCGACAACGGTTCGCAGTTCACTTAAGGTCAATTTCAAGAATTTTGCAAACGCCTATCGATCAAGCAGTTCCGCTCTCCACCTTACCACCCACAGTCAAATGGCCAAGCAGAAAGATTTGTGGATACATTCATGAGAGCTCTAATGAAATCGAAAGGGGAGGGGACACCAGTGAAAACATTGAGGAAATTCCTGTTTGTTTACCGAACAACACCTAGTGATATGCTTCCACAGCAGAAGTCCCCGGCAGAGATCCTAATGGGAAGGAAATTGAAGACGATCCACAGTCTGATGTGCCCAAGAACCACACCACCACCACCACCACCTCAGACCAGATCTCACAAGCTGCAAGCATACGAGGTTGGATGCCCGGTGTTCGCTCTAGACTATATAGAGCGAACCATGGTCCTTGGATCGAAGCATGTGTGGTTGGAAGATTAGGCCAAGTTATGTACGAGGTAAAGGTGGGAAGAGACACGGACTAGACACAGAAACCAACTGCGGAAGCGGATAACGCCAGACCGCCTATCAACAGGAGCGAATCTCCCTCTTGACATCCTGCTTGATACCTACAACTTACCAGCAGCCCCACCACGAGAAGAAGCTCAACAAGAAGCTGATCTCCGTTCCAGAAGGTGGCCTCCCAGACAACGGCGAGCAACGGACAGGATGCAAGTCGACCCTAGAAAAGTGCGCTACTAAAAAGGGGAGGAGTGTTGGGGACGATAGATCCCCAAAAACTCATAGTTTGTAATTTATCTTGTGGAGCTTGTATGCAGATGTATACCTGGGCATTTCTTACCACCCACGCACATAGTTGATTGACGAATTTATCGATTAAATGTTTAAATATTTCAATGGCAGTCAATTGACGAACTATCGATTAAATGTTTAAAAGCTCCATGACAATATCGATGTATATATATTTGTATATATACGTTTTAAAATTGTCTTTGTAAAAAAAGTTCGCTGGTTTCGGGTTGTTGCAGAATATATTTCATTCCAAGCTTGATCTTCTCTCTCTAGATAGCGGGCTGGGATGCGTCAATAGATAGCTTACTGGACCTTGGTCACCGAATCCTCGATCTCGTTCTCAAACTACGTGAACCCGTGATCTCTCTCTCTCTTTCAAAACCTAACACCAACATCGATTGGGAGGTCCGTGAGTGCTGCTTCGATGTTGGGTGGGTTCAGTAGGGCTGGTCGATTCAAGAGTTCTTGGAAGTTTTCTACCCACATGTTTCGTTGTTTTTCAATGTTGGTGATTATCTTGCCTTCCTTACTTTTCACTGGTCGTTCTGGTTTACGGTGATTTCCAGAGGGTTTCTTTGTTGTGTCATGCAGTTGTCTCATGTTCCCTTCGCTTGCAGCCTTTTCCGCCGTCACTGCTAAATCTTCCACATATTTACGTTAGTCACTTCTGATGCTCCTCTTCACTTGCTTGTGTACTTCTGTGTATTCAGCTTGTGCCTTGGCTTTTTCTGCTCTTATTCGACTGCTATTGATTGCTGCCTCCCTGTTCCTCCTTTCTTGAATCTTATCCAGTGTATTAACCGTGATCCAATCCTTGTGATGGTGCTTCTTTTGGCCCAGAACCTCATGACATGTTGAAGTGACTGCCCCTTCCAGTTGTTCTCCATAGTAGTTCCTTCTCCATCGAGTAGATCATGAAAGGCCTGGAACTTATTGCTGAGGGCTATCTTGAACTTGTTAAGTTTGTCAGTGCCCCCAAATGCCCTGGTACGGCCGAGAGTGGGGAGAGTCAGCTCTCCCTCTCGAAATGCTCTCACATGGCCACGCGTACATAGCCCCTGCCAGGGAAGTCCTACTCACTGCCTTCACGTGGCGGGGGTGTTGTTTACGAAAATGAGAGGACGAAAAGCGAATGTCTGGCGCTTTAACCGGATCCCAAACAAATGGTGCACATGGGCTCCAGTATCCTGAAGGAACAAATGGCGTATGAACCAATCGTTGGTCACCGGCTACCATGGGACTGCATCTCCTCACGATACTCCACTGCCTTGTGGATCAGACGTTCAGGTCAAAGGCTCGGGGTGTGGCCCCCTAAGAAAACCACCCGCTCCGGTTTGGGCACCCGAGCAGTATCACAGCCCTCACACAAATCAATTGAGATTCGTGTGGCGCATATGTACTTGGGGCCTCCTTGTACCAATACCTATGTGTTAAATAAATAAAAATAAATAAGTTTGTCAGTATCCCGAAGAAGAACCGTATTAAACTTTTGTGATATTGTCTGCCTCGTTGTCCAGTGCTTCTCGAGTTTCAATTTCATCTTGGCGACCAGCAAGTGATGATCTGATGCTATATCAGCTCCTCTCTTGGTTCTCACGTCCTCCATCGAACTCCTGAACTTTGTGTTGATGCATATATGGTCGATTTGGTTTTGCGTAGTGTGATCCGGTGAAGTCCATGTGGTTTTGCGGATGCGTTTATGTGGGAATATAGTGCCGCATATATAGCCAGTTTATTGAAGGCATATAGGTTTGAAAATCTCTCATCATTTTCGTTCCTTTCTCCTAGCCCATGTCGTCCCATGATCTTTTCATATCCGGTGTTGTCCATTACAACCTTGGCATTTAAATCTCCCATCAGAATGGTCAAGTACTTTGTTGAGCACTTCTCGACGATTGACTACAGCCTATCGTAGAATTGATCTTTAACGTCTTCATTGTAGTCGTCGGTGGTCGCATAGCATTGGATGATGTTCATTGAAATGCCCTCTTTGTTTGTTTTGAAGGAGGCTTTGATGATCCTTGGTCCATGAGATTCCCATCCTATAAGTGCATTTTGTGCTTGTTTGGACAGCATCAATGCAACTTCTTGTGTATGTGGGGCATTTTCTTCTTCATATCCGGAGTATAACAGCAGCTCCCCTGAAGCTAGTCGTTGTTGTCCAACTTGCGTCCAATTTGGAAAACTGTCCCAGTCTCCCACATTGTACGAGCATTCCATGTACCTAAATAAATGGTTGCTCTGGTTATCAGTAGGGGCATCGGCCTCGTGACTTCCGAAGGAACTCGGCTTTCATCATGAGGCGTCATAATTCTTCTAAATGAAGACCTTCTGACTCCCAGGGCAGAGTTTAAATGGTTTGAATATTTTTTTCTGGTCAGCGTTTTTTGGCGAGTTAGTTTTCTACGGGATGGGTCGCTAACCTTGTGCACAACCCTCCTCCTTTATCTGGGTTTGGGACCGGCAGTAGCCCGCGGAGGGACTCCAGGCGGTGTCCGAGTCATTAAAAAAATACCCTTATAACGAATATACAAGTCTTACTAAAGAAGCTCACACTTATACAACTGGTTATAATGCAAGTGCAAAACTAATTCCATATTTCTGATCATTTGTTTTTTGACTTCTGTATTCTGCTCACACTGAATTATATTCTGTTTCATGTATAATCAGGTATAAAACAAAGTGAATTGTTTATCTCCGTCCGTTCCCTAATCAATAAAGCTCTGCGGATGTGCCAAACAGTGGAAATATTTCGTCACTAATTTTTACTGCAGAAAGCGAACAACCTACTAAATGGAGAATAGTAATATCCTTGAGATCAGCAGATGAAAGACTATAAAATTTCTATTTTTACTCGTCGAACTTGTCTCTTTCTTGTTTGTGTTTCCAAATTTTTTTTTAAGTTGGTTTCTTTTTAATCATCGTTTAGTTTACGATCAAGTTGACCAGTACCTGTCGTGGAACAAACAAACCTAGTCAAAATACATCTATTCATACCCTATTGAATGAAACCAGAGGACCAGTTGTTATTTCATCCAAAGCAAGTCAGCCCAATCGTAGTCCTCTTATTAGTATTACAGGCCAAGCTTTTGTTGGCGTTGCTGTAGGTTCTAGTGCAGGAGGTAGTGGGACGTCTGCCGCAAGCTTACCTAGCACTCCAATATCAGCTCGTCTTGTCCCTTCAGTTCCACCTGTTTCTCCAAATTTACTTGATACGTCTGTTAACCTTTCATCTCCAAGAGCTGTTTCCAAGTTTGAATCATGCGATACTGCACAACAACTGGGTGCTTCAAAAGGCTTCAAAGGTCGTGCTAAAGGTAAGCTGAACTTAAAGTAACTAACGTGTCATCTTTTCGTGTAGATAGCAGTCAAAACGGTGGCTGCTACCTTGACGTGTTGGTCGGGCTTGTCTATCATGATGACTCAACCGAGCTTTATTGGCCGAGACATATGTTACTTTAGGTTCCAACATGCCATGCAGGTCGGTTGGAGACTGGTAAGACTTAAAGCTTCAACTTACGGTTCGAAGTGTAAAGTCGTACTGGTGACTGCAGGGGGTTGTGACAGCAGTTAGTTGTTTCCCTCAGACAACCAGCATCTGCAGCGATGCTGCCTTCTCTCAAGGAAGGGAGGGGTTAGAAAAGGTTGACCCTAAAAATGTCACACCTCTTCTTACCCCACGGATTTCCGTCTCCGGCGGTAAGGCCCTTTGAAGAACGGAGCTAACACATTAAAAACCTCCCACAAAAAGGCCGTGCGCGACCGGCCTCAAGCAGTTGTCCCTTGGGCTCTGTGGTCACGCTCCCAGGTCTTTAAAACCAACACTAATCTGATTTCCTTTTCAAATTCCTCAAGAAATACCCTTCCACGGTGTGTGCAGCCGGGAAGTGACATCAGCCCTCATACTCGTAACAACACACGAGACCAAGTTGGTCACATTCAAATCCTTCCTAACTGACTGCTACTTTCCATGGCCTCGCTTGTGTATGTATAGAATTAAGTTAAAAGGCGCATCAGGACAGTAAAATCTCAAAAAAATATAGATACAGCCTGTTGTCTGTTCGTCGTTAATAAAAAGCAATGAATTTTACCAGTGTCTCTGTAACTGATAAATGCTTAGAAACTCATCACATCTGGCTCCGGACACGAGCGTTGGAGGCGGAAACAGAGGGTCCACCTAGGGGAGTTGGAAAACCGTGATTCCAAACCAATGGTGCACATGGGCTTCAGTTTCCTGAAGGAACAAATGGCGTATGAACCGATCGCTGGTCACCGGCTACCATGGGACTGCATCTACTAATACTGCTTCACTGCCTTGTGGGTCAGACCTTTAGGTCAAAGGCTCCGAAAAAAAAAACCTGCTTCGGTCTGGGCACCCAGGCAGTATCGCAACCCACACACAAATATGATGAAATGACGATATTCCCTGAAAATACTATTCACGCTTTGATTAACAGTCAAACAATTCACATTATTATTATTTTCTACCACGTCACTCATTCACTCTCTCTTTTATTCCCACTTGGTGTATCCTTGATTTTCAACTAACTAACCCATGGTGGAAACTCTGTTCTATCTAAACGATGAATTAGACCTTTGAATCAAAGGTTCAGTGTGTGGCTCCCTAAGAAAACCACTTGCTCCGGCTTGAGCCCCCGTGCAGTATTCCATATCACACACAAATCCAACGATAATGACTAGAAATAATTACTCTTGCTTCAGCTCTCATTCAGACAAATCATATGGTAATATCCGTTTTTAGTTCCTTTATTCTGCGTCACTCATCTACTAATCTTTATCGTCACTTTTTTTATTCCTTTATTTTTCGACCTACACAGCAGCTTGCCTATGGTGAAAACCCTGTTCTATCCAAGCGATCTCAAGTCACTGACTGGTCAAAAGTTGGATGCTACCACCGACTACGGATGGTGAGCCAGCCTTTCTGAAACTATGTATACCATTCAAACTAGCTTACTTCAACGTTCGCATATTAATGCAGATAGGACAACAGATAGGGTTGTTTATGTCTTTAGAAGGTTTCAACATCGATGTCTGATGTCTATTCGAGAAATGTATTTAAGACTACAGTAAAGTACTATGAATTCGCCCTCCACATATCGCTTTGGAAAGCTTGTTTCACATGCGTTTATGTAGGGATCCTGTGGCAACCTCGTCTGGTTTTGCTGGCGTCGGTGTCGAACTAAGCGCTAGAGCTGAGGCAGCACTAATCGATTGGATCTCTATTAACAGTCGGTTATGTGTTATTTGGTTTGAAAGATCCATCAAAGTAAGAAGAGATCGATGATATTCCGGAAACAGCTCTAATGGATGTAAATAATGGCGGTGTGGATCTGTTACCGGGAGGAACACTTCTCGACCTTGAGTATGCGGATGATATTGTCTTACTGTGCTATAATGCCCAAGTCATGCAATCCGCACTTAATCAGTTGGCGATCAATGTCCGTAGGTATGGTATGTGCTTTGTACCTTCGAAGTGCAAAGTACTTCTACAAGACTGGCAGGATTCTAATCCTGTACTCACTCTGGATGGTGAGCAGATAGAAGTAGTCGAGAAGTTCGTGTATCTGGGTAGCTGCATAAGTGCTGGTGGTGGCGTGAGTGATGAGATCAATGCACGTATAGTGAAAGCCAGAGCGGCTTATGCCGATCTGGCCTACCTTTAGCGCCTTCAAGACTAGGTCAGAACTAATAATAGTAAGTGAAAGGGTAGGGTGCTTCGACCGTCCACTTATCATGGAAGTCTCATTAGTCCCGATGGGCCGATGTCTGACGAAATCTCGGCATGGATTCAAAAGGCTCGACTGGTGTTTGTCAACTTGCGTCGCTTGTGGCGAAGGCGGGACATCCGTTTGCCAACAAAAGTACAAGTTTAGCGTATAATACTTCAATCCATCCAACTTCATAGTTGTGAAACGTAGCTATTAAGAGTAGAGGATATTCGTAGGTTACTGTTATTCGATCATAGGTGTCTTCGAAGAATTGCTTGTGTATTTTAGAACCATTGAGTAAGCAGTGCCTCGGTTAAGAATAATGCAGTGGTGAGGATGGGAAATTGCTTGACAAGGTAGTAAATCGTTATCAACTGAGGTGGTTGGTACATGCGTTCCGTCACCCAACCACCGTCTACATCAACTGGCTATGTTGTGTTCCTCATTTGCTGTCGGGACGTGAGCTAGGAGTTGCCAAACCCAAACATGACATCTGTCCATGAGGTCAATGTCTATTGGACTGTGTTTTAATAACATGTTTTAGCTGCCTGTTTAGGTCCGTTGTGATTTTCGCAACCAGTGTTTAGGGATTTTAAATACCGTAGCCCAAAATCTTTTGTAATGGCACACGTGTTCCCATTCCTTGTGTCTCTAAGATTTCAAGCTTCTGATTTCCACGTGGTTTAAAATTACTCCAATTTATTTGTTATCGTATCTCCGATATCTAAGCTTTTCAATCATCACTCATACCTTCATTATCTCCTGTATTCTAAGATTTGACTTGACAATTTTTATCAATGTACCTACGTGTGATCTTCTACTCAGTGAGTGCCTGACTGTTTAAAGTTTACAAACATTTTGCTGTCTTGTTTGTTTATGTCTAAAACCCTTGCATACTTTTCACATTCTTTAATTACTGTATAATTTAATTTTAAAGTAGTGAACAATAACTATTAGTAAGATTTCCGATTCTGAAATTCTTTTCTTGTTCCATCGGAATTTCGGGATAAGTTATGTACTAACAATTCGTTCTGATATATGAAAGAAGAATGAAAAAGTAAATGTTATGATATATTCTAGTTACTTAATTACTTACGCCTGTGACTCCTAATGGAACATAGGCCGCCGACCAGCACTCTCCAACTCACTCTGTCCTGGGCCTTCTTTTCTAGTTCCATCCAATTCTTGTTCATTTTTCTCATGTCTATCTCCATTTCCCGGCGTAATGTGTATTTGGTCTTCCTCTCCTCCTTCGACCTTGAGGATTCCATGTGAGGGCTTGTCTTATGGCGCAGTTCGGTGCTTTCCTCAATGTGTGTCCTATCCACTTCCAGCGCTTCTTCCTGATTTCTTCCTCCACTGGGATCTGATTTGTTCTCTGGCACAGTAGGTTGTTGCTAACAGTGTCCGGCCAACGGATCTGAAGTATTTTGCGTGGACAACTGTTAATAAACACCTGTATCTTCTGGATGATGGCTTTCGTAGTTTTCCAGGTTTCGGCTCCATACAGTAGAACTGTCTTAACATTTGTATTGAAAATTCTAACTTTGGTGTTGGTTGACAATTGCTTTGAGTTCTAAATGTTCTTCAGTTGTAAATATGCTGCTCTTGCTTTGCCGATCCATGCCTTCACATCTGCATCAGATCCACCGTGTTCATCGATGATGCTGCCCAAATATGTAAAGGTTTGTACATCTTCCAGATCTTCTCCGTCAATTGTGATTGGATTGGTGCATGCTGTGTTGTACGGAGAATCTTGCTTTTCCTTTTGTGTATGTTGAGACCTATTGCTGCTGAGGCTGCTGCTACACTGGTCGTCTTCTCCTGCGTTTGCGATAGAAGAGCCAGATCATCTGCGAAGTCTAGATCATCCAACTGCATCCTAGATGTCCACTGTATCCCGTGCTTCCCTTCAGATGTTGACGTCTTCATGATCCAGTCGATCACCAGGAGAAAAAGAAAGGGTGAGAGTAAGCATCCTTGCCTGAAACCTGTCTTTACTTCGAAGGAGTTTGTCAACTGTCCTCCATGCACGATTTTGCAGTTTAATCCATCATAGGAATCCCGTATGATATTGACTATCTTCTGAGGTACGCCGTAGTGTCAAAGAAGCTTCCATAGTGTTGTTCTGTCCACTCTGTCAAATGCTTTTTCATAGTCAATTAAGTTGATGTAGAGTAATGAATTCCATTCAAAATATATTCCAATGGTATAACTTTTTTCTCATAATTTTGTGTTCAGTTATACGTATCATTTACGTGAATTTTGTGCACAAAATGTCTTGGAAATGTGTAAAAATTGGTTGTAGTCAGTAAAAAAATTTCATTGAAACAAACTTATACTTACTTTTATTTTCTAGACGTTTTAGATTCGATGATTATGAATGCTAGGTTTGTGTACTCGCGCTTTATTAAAGGGTTACAAAATATTTTCAGTATTTATTACTGGAAAACTCGAACAGAAGTGTCAACGTTCTTGGGGTATTTTTTTTTTTATCTATGCTTTAACAAAGCGAGAGGGAAATCTATTTGAATTCAAGCACTATATATATGATGGGTAGAAAAGTAGTCGTGGCAGTTAAACTTTGTTGATCAATAGTAAATGTTAGGAAAAATTTTTAAAAAAAGTGTTTTGAATAGTTACGAATGGTATGGATGTTAGAATATTGCACAGTTGATGCTGTAGAATTTTTTGATGTACCATTATTCATGGTATTAGAGGGCTTATTATTGTTCATTTTCGTTCTCTGGATTTAAGAATCATAAATCATTTGTGTACTGCTGAGGTAGTTATTATTGAGTTTTATGTACAATCTAAACGAATATTCACTGAAAAAAATCTGCTACTCAATGTTTTAAATTTTATTATAATATGTAGTTTCTTGTTTAGTTCTTGAACTAGGTTCACGCTGCATTCCTGGTTTATCGATCAAATCCTCTCGTTACTCTGCTAATGAATTCGCAGTTACGAGGACTAGTGTGAATTGTCTTCGTGGCCCTAGGGTTCAGTCTGCGGAAAACAATGTCTCACTGCCGTCGAAAAGTTTGCTTAAATCGTCTAATCTGAATTCTGAGACAGTATTAATCAGTGTTGTTGAAGTTTGGTTGGCAGACCCAAATCAAGCTAAAACAGTTATGTCTATGTGTGCTGGTAACCACTCACTGTTCATGAGACGTCGTCAGCCGGATAGCATTGAGGTCCAGCAAATGAGAGCACAAGCAAGAGAAGAGAGAGCCAGACGAGAGGTAACCAATCATTTTAGCATCTTTTCATATTACTTCAATTGATTTGTCATTTTCTACATTCTCAGTGTTTCTTCGTTACTGAATTAATTATTCTCATTATGCCTCTGTATTATCCTTCTGCATTTTACTTTTGCGCAGTGTAAGTTCGAAACAAACCATTTTCGCTTGATGTCCTGTTCAATTTATTTAACCATATAGATGCGCATCCATTGTTTACATTCATGCAACTGACACTTCGAATTTTTTCAAATCGTTTACTATTTGTTTCCAATTTATTATCTACCGAGTTTCCTTTGAAATTAGGTTGAAAGAGCACGACTGGCAAAAGCACGTGCAGAAAAGGCTGAGGCTTTAGAAGCTAAATCAGTTTTAGAGGCTCGGTGTGCTCAACTTGAAGAGGCACTAATACACCAGCAAACGCGCCAAAACCCTTATAACTTTGATAACCATGATCGTTTGATCAATACCTATGTAGCCAATTCGCCCTCCACTCATGCTTCTCAATGTATATCCACTCAATACAACTGTAAAGTTGCTTTCAGTCACACGAAGAAAGAAAATCAAAAAGACGTTAAAATTGATGGTATACATATACCCCAAACGTTGAATAACGATGATGATGACCAGAAATCTATTTCTAATCCCACTGAAGATAATGATAAAACTACTAGTGATATGAATGGTGATCGATGTGGCAACTACTTTGATGACTATAGTTTCTATCCACCAGTAACAAATTCGGATGGATATCCAGTACATCATGGAAAATCTTGGGATGATGGAATTCAGACAGACCAAAATAATTTGGTTTATACTGATTCTCTATATCCAAACATTCCAGTAAATTCCTTCCTTGTTTATTCTAAGTATACTGATCATCGATTTGCTCCGGGTTCAGCATCTGTCCCTGTTACACCTCACGTTAAACGCACAGAAGTGATATTCGATAGGGGTGCAGATCATTACCCTCAGTCATCTTTGTGGCCGTTTGAGTCAACTAGCTGTCCAGTAGATCTACATAGCGAACATTCTGTTTGTAGGACTCCATCGAACAAAAAGGTTAGTCCACACAGTACTTATGAATTTGAAATTTATTTTAAATAAATCAGTTTATATTTTAGGCTGTACCAAAATATAAATTTTCTAAGCAAAAGTAGATATACATTGTCCATAGGAGAATATGCATCACGAACGACTTTTAAGACATTTTTGATTAAATGTGCATAACTTTTTCTGAATGTGACCGGCGTCACGCTACACTAAGTAGGGAATTTAGAACTAGTCTGACGCAGATGGTATTGGAAGCATGCTAGATCTTGTGTCCAAATATTTCTCAACGGACGTGTCAGATTCCAGCTTTATATTAGTAAATGTGTGCGGATGTGACAAGTGAGATTTCGGAACTGTAGACATCGGTCAATCGACAAAATTGACTATAACTAAATATGTCTATGGTGAGGTCTCACCGGAGTCATTTACGTAATTTAGGTGTAACTTGATCATCACTGTCCTGCTACACCGTTTCAAGCTTCATTACTCCAGAGAAGATCTACATGCATCATGACCTACTGTTTAATGTCTTTAGTTAATACAAAGTCAATATCGAGTAGTGTCTGTCCAAAAGTGTGAAGTATTCAGTACTTTCATTTTGAAAATCCATTCCGCAGCTCAGACCATAGCTTTTTGCCTCAAGATAGCCACTTCCTGTCTCAAAACTATTCGTACACTTACCCTATACTGATTTGTTTGGGCAAAATATCAGCTACGCCCCACTGCCGCTTTCTGATAAACAAGAATTCATACTACTTTTGCAAAAGTCTCCAGTTTGGGGCGTCAAGGCAGAACGGGAAACCAGGCTGTAAAGATGGACCATGTCCTGTATTGTATAGGTCTCTTGTTTTTCTCACTTCATATAGGTCACACGCTATGAATAAGCAACCTAACTGTTGAGCAATAAACGTGTTATCTACAGCTTGCGGAAGATCTACATCAATGAAGTAGTGTTATAATTTCTCCTATTACAACCTAGCCACTATTACTGCTTAGTATTTTTTTTCAGACATTTTAATTCACTCAATAAGTTCCCTAATCAGTACGCCACTGAATAAGAACGTAACTATTTTGCAAATGACAAGATAGAATGGTACGCCTGAGATTTTTAAGGATGGTGGTTCAGTATTAGCAGCTACATTGACTGAGGTCTTAGGCGGAATCTGGACGTAATCCCATCTGACTGGTCTCAGTGACTGACTGTGCCAGTCCATAAAATTATGTATTTTATTTATTTCAACACATAAACATTGGTACAAAGGGGCAACAGATATATATATGCGTCACACAAAGCAATGAGAATAGGAAGATAAAAAGAAAGTAAGTTGCGTATAAGAAAAAAACAACGATTACAGCTTAGTGTATGGTAGTGTAATAATAATAAATAAATAAATAATGGGGGAAACGCAAAGGTATAACCAGACGAATTCTTTCAATTAAGGAAGTTACAACTAATTTTTATCAAGAAAGTAAAAGAAGATTACAGCAGGATGTCACTGGCTTCCATTCTGAAGCATATCTGACAACGTCTCTAGCCAATGTGTTACACCATCTCTCGGACCCCAGCCAGGGAGTCGTGAAGGTCCAACAGAAGCCAGCTCTTTGCAGCTTTCTTTCATACCACGACACCATATCATACACTGACCACCTCTCCTCTTTTTCTAACCAGTCCCAGAGTCGGCAAATAATGCACGACGTGGAATTCTCTGGGGCGACATTCGTGGAACATGTCCAAACCACCGAAGTCGGTGTTTCAAGATGGTGACACCAATTGCATTATCGTCTCTGTGCCCGAAAACACGATGCCTAACCTCTGCATTGCTAACATGGTATTGTCACTGGATGTCAGCAATCCTTCGAAGACAACGATAATGGAACACAGAGAGTCGTCTAACATCCTCAACTCGGAGGGGCCAGGTTTCACAAGCATAGAGCAGAACTGCTCTCATCGACGCGTTGTAGATCCGACCTTTTACAACCAGACTAACATCACGAAGGCACCAAAGATGGCCCAGATTGGCATAAGCCGCTCTGGCTTTCACTATACGTGCATCGATCTGATCACTCACGCCACACCATCACTTATGCAGCATGGCTTGGACATTCTCGCACAGTAAGACAATATCATCCGCATACTCAAGGTCCAGAAGTGTTCCTCCAGGTAACAGATCCACACTGCCGTTACTTACATCCATCAGATCTGTTTCTAGAATGTCATCGACGGCAAAGTTGAAGAGGAATGGTTAGATTGGGCAACCCTGCCCAACCCCACTGCTTGAATGGAATAATGGAGAAAGGTGGTTGTATGCCCTCACTCTGCCTGAGGTGTTTGTGGATAGGGCTTTTAGGATGTTATTAAACTTCTCAGACACACCCTTCTTCTATAGACAATCCCAGAGAACAGTCCTATCCAACGAATCGAAGGCAGTCCTGATGTCAAGAAACACTACGATTGTTGGCCTTTGATAAGTATGGCGGTGTTCTTATATTTGGCGGAGGGGGAAGATATGATCAATACCTTCTTTGAACAGAGCGAAAACCTTCCCGCTCCTCGCGAGTCATCCTTCTCGGGTTTTGAACAACCTACGAAGTATAACGGAAGCCAATAGTTTGAACGCAATCGGAAGTAGACTGATCCTCCGATAGTTGTCAGAGAAACGACGTGAACCCTTTTTAAAGATAGGGACAACTATCGACTCATTCCATGACGTTGGACACACTATCTATTTCCCAGACCTTTGTAAACAACGTCGTCAGTCCCTTAGTCAGAAAGTCACCACCATTTTTAAAAAGAGCCGGAGGTCAGTTGTCTGGGCCCGGTGATTTGTAACGTTTCGAGAGTTGGAGTTCCTTGCGGACTTCCGCCTCATTTGGTGGATCAGTCGTCACCGGCCATGGAGGGTAGGACAGTCTGACCGATGTTGCCGGAGCAGCAGGCCAGTTGAACTGCCCTTCAAAGAATTCTGCCCATCGTCCAAGACGTCGATGGATGTTAGTGATTGGCGTTCCATCATCCTCGCAGATTGTTTTGCTCACACCAGACTTCTTGCTGCCAGTGGCTCGGATGAGTTGGAAGAGCTTCCGGTAATTACCAGATGCAGCTGCTGCTTCCAGCTCGTTAGCACGCTCCGACCACCAGGCTTCTCGGTCCTTACGCAAGCTTTGCCCGATTTTATTACGTAACATCCTTCGTTTGTGGTCAAACTCACGGTCACCCGGAGTAGACCAACGAGCTTCAATGAGTTGTAAGGAACCAGAAGAAACCCAGTGCTTATAGGCGGGACGTTTCGCGAACTCACAACAGACTGTACCCGCCATTTTCATGGCGTCATGCGATTGCAACCAATGCTCATCTATACTTTTCGGTGGAATGGTAGCTAGCCTAGAAGCTAGCTCGGTTCGGTACTTACTAGCGACAGTAGTTGCAGTCAGCTTGCTAACATCAATCGCTATGTGTTTAATCTGAGTCCAAACTTGAGATGTAGAGGGAGGGCGCCAGTTGGCACATTGGCGATGACTGTGCCGAAAGTTAGTGCTAGCCAAAAACAGGTTGTAGTCTGCACACTGTTGCAGTAGACGGTCCCCGTTATCTGTCATGTGTGATCAACAAGTCTCCATCGGCCACTCAAGCGACTCTCTTCTGTGCCTACACTCCCGACCTGAGCATTCAAGTCTCCGGCTAGTACTACAATATCTGTCGAACGCACTTTCTGGAGAAGAACAGTTAGCTGGTGGTAGAACTCGTCCTTGATTGCATCCGGGCTGTGGTCTGTCGTGGCATAGGCAGAGATGACGAAAAAACATCGTTTCTCACACCGATTTCTTCTCACTTTGATGGATCTTTCAAACCAAATAACACATAACCGACTGTTAATAGAGATCCAATCGATTAGTGCTGCCTCAGCTCTAGCGCTTAGTTCGACACCGACGCCAGCAAAACCAGACGAGGTTGCCACAGGATCCCTACATAAACGCATGTGAAACAAGCTTTCCAAAGCGATATGTGGAGGGCGAATTCATAGTACTTTACTGTAGTCTTAAATACATTTCTCGAATAGACATCAGACATCGATGTTGAAACCTTCTAAAGACATAAACAACCCTATCTGTTGTCCTATCTGCATTAATATGCGAACGTTGAAGTAAGCTAGTTTGAATGGTATACATAGTTTCAGAAAGGCTGGCTCACCATCCGTAGTCGGTGGTAGCATCCAACTTTTGACCAGTCAGTGACTTGAGATCGCTTGGATAGAACAGGGTTTTCACCATAGGCAAGCTGCTGTGTAGGTCGAAAAATAAAGGAATAAAAAAAGTGACGATAAAGATTAGTAGATGAGTGACGCAGAATAAAGGAACTAAAAACGGATATTACCATATGATTTGTCTGAATGAGAGCCAGTGACCAGCGTTCGGTTCCTTCAGAATACTGAAGCCCATGTGAACCATTGGTTTGGAATCACGGTTTTCCAACTCCCCTAGGTGAGCTTTACATGTCCTACAATCCGGTTAAGGCACCAGATATTTGCTTTTCGTCCTCTCGATTTCCCAAACCACAGTAATGCCACGAGAAGACAGTGAGTAGGACTTTCCTGCCAGAGGCTTTATACACGTGTCCGTGTTAGAGCGTTTCGAGAGTTAGAGCTTATGGCGAACTGTCACCAGAATTAATTACCTCTTGTGGTGTTTTCCAGGGCTGTCCACTCTCTTCATTCTTCTTTATCGTAGATATGCTTTTAGAGATAGCACTTTCATTATCTAAATTTTCAGGGGTTGAACTTCTACCAGGAAATTCACTTTATGACTTAGAGTATGCTGATGACATAGTTCTCTTTGATGAAAATGCTAACAAAATACGGAGTCTTCTGACCTCTATAAGCAACAATACATGCATGTTCGGGTTGTGACTCTTCCTCCCCTGAAATGCAAAATGTTGCTTCAGGTTTGGGTTGCATCGACACCCGAACTAAAGATAGGGAGTAATGTAGTTGGGCGTGTCCACCACTTCATTTATCTTGGAAGCCTCATCAACCCTTGTGGTCTGGTGTGTGACGAAATCTCAACACGGATTCAAAATGCTCGATCCGGTTTTGCCAACTGACGTCATTTATGGTGTAGGCGAGATATCTTACCAACCAAAGGACGGGTTTACTGCGCAACAGTTTGTTCCGTCCTATTTTATCGCTGTGAAACATGGCCGGTAAGAGTAGAGAATATCCATAGGCTACTAGTATTCGATTATAAGTGTCTTCGAAGCATTGCTCTTATATCCTGGGACCATCGAGTAAGTAATGCAGTTCTTAGGAAACGGGTACTAGGTACGGATGGCGAATCGATTGATGAAGTAGTGAGACTTCATCAGTTGAGATGGCTGGGACACGTGTTACGTGTTCCCAACCACCGACGGCCCCGGAGAGCGATGCTTTATGGTGTAGGAGTAGTTTGGAAGAAAGCTATGAGCAGCCAGACCGAAACTTGGCACAAATTCATAAATTCACTGACAAGTGGACTGAACCATGTTGTTAGGTGAGACTACCTGGTTGGGATTCGCGAGATGATAGCAACCGCTGGTTAGAGACCTTGAATGATATGGCTCAAAATCGTTTGCAATAGCGCAGTTGCATCCACTCCTAGTGTTCTCCCAAATTATAATCTGGATTTTTCGTGTCCCTTTTCTTCGCTTATACTCTTACTACCTCTACCACTATGGTATTTAAATCGACAACTGCATCTCTGTGCTAATGTGGTATGGCATCTCGAACTGATGTACGTACGTACGAAGTTCTACGTTGTTACTGACTGACTGATTTAGAATGGTAGTAAGAAATCAAAACAAGGAAAACGTTAGTAAATGTATATTATTTTACACAGGAATTTTCTTCAGTCTTCTATTTATATCTAGCGTTGATCGGTTAATAAATGGTCACTCAGTGCGCTCCAACACAATCCTGCACAAAACGTGCTACGTATGCTAACATGTGGTCACTTACGCTATGGTATCTCACTACTTGACATACCTGTTCAAACTGTATTTGACGTTGTTTTTTTAACTAACCTAGGTGGTTTTGTATCCATCTTATTTGGTCACTAACCTTGGTCCAGTGTATCCTGATGGTGCTTTCTGTGGCATTGCCATCAAATCGTTATTGTCTGGAAATCATTGTCTAACTGGTAAAATACCAGTAGTATCTGTCGGGGAGTCCATTTCCAAAGAACCGGAAGCCTCTTTCGCTCCGTTTGTTATTGTCTCAGGTAGCTTGCCTGCTCTTCACAATGACGAAGTTTTAAATTCAAAATCTCGTACCGGACCAACAGATGTCTCTCATTGTAATCATAATCCGTGTGCTTGTGCAGTAATGTCAACTGAACACCAACCTCCGACAATCTGTCACATACACTCTCCACCTCAAACAATTATTCGTGAGGTCTCTTATACTGTACCAACAAGTGTTCTGAGACACCCACAGTACTACACACCAAGTTGTCACGTTCAGTTCGTCCCACACGACCCAGTAGATCGCAGCCAATATATGTATTCGAGTCCATCTTTGGCTGCAATACTTTCTCCTATTGTTACTCAACGTTTGCATCGTCGAATGTCTAATCGTCCACAGCCTAATCGTGGCTTAAAGCGACAGCAACCGCAGCCGAAAAGCTCAATATCATCTGACTCAGTTCATATTCCCTTAATAGAACGTTCGACAAGTTACATGCAAATACCTTACTCAGAAAACGACTGCGGATTAGCGTCTACAGAGGAGTTTAATTTAACCAACAAGGACTTTTTATCCCGTCCTACTAGTCGTGGCTGTTCTTTTCAATATACACCTTGTTCCACAAACGTGCATTCAAAATACCATGACTTTCAGACAGGTAACTTTTCGATCTTTGCAATAGCATTTTTCCATGTCTTTCTTGTTTCGCTTTAAACTCAAACCATTTGGATCCGTTTATGCATATTCAGTATTAATGTGTTTAGTGCATATCTTTATGTAGGTTCTCGTAACTTTTAATTTGAACAACATTAGCATAAATGTTAGGAAATTTTAATTATGCACTTTAGTACAACGAGTGAGTTACATTTCAGTTTCACATGATTCTGTTTGCTCACTAAATTTTATGTACTTTATGTATAAATTAATCTTAACTCAACTGCGGACTTTCATTCTATCTCCAGGTATTAATAGCTCATGGAAGTTCAAACGTTTGTGTTTGGTATGTGATTTGTTGTGTCTGTCTGTTCGTTTAAAATCTGGTGTGTTTTTTTAAATTTGTTATCTACACTGTTTTTCCCTCTTAATTGCTTTTGCTTGTATCATTCTAATCTGTTTTGTGTTGTGACAAGAAGCAGAGTTTTGGTTTACTATCACAGTTAAACTAATGATTTCCGCTTACGTAATGTGTCAAAGCTACATGATAATTTGTGTTCAATCCTTTAGTAATGAAGTTCGTTACAACCTTTTTTTTAGGCCGCAGATATCCTACTGAAGTTTATCCCAATCCACTATTATATTATCAATTTCACTCTCCTACAACAAATGAATATCTGCGCCGCGCTACTAGTCTTGACGTTTCATCTGGGAATAATGATCTTTTGTGGAATCTAGCACCTCATGAACTGTTATCTCGAACAAGCGAACGTAATGAAGATGAGAATGTCTATCTACTGGAATCAAATCCTCCTTATTCTCAACGCAGTTTCTTAACAAATCAGTTACAGGAGGAAAGAGCTCACTTTGCATTCCTTCAAACACAATTTTCACGCCAGTTGTGTGATACGTGGGGATATTTAAAAGCCGCTCGTGGTCAGCAATGCGATAAATTATGTGATTTGGCAACCCATGGGATTGGAAGTAATATTTACAAGTAATCACCAGTGTTTCTATAATTATTTTATTTTGTAAAATGTTGATTCCTGAATTTATATTTACTCTCACGAGTTTTATCTTAATCGGTTGCACACATCATTCTCAGTAGGAATTGTTTACAATTAGGCTTTCGCGATTTATATGTTGGTACTGATTGCTGTTATTACGATCTTCTTAGTCTGTTGTTATCTTATTCGCTTTATGTTATATCGCTCGGTTTTGTTTGTCTACACGAATGGGACGTTAATTCGCCATAGACAAATATTTACACTATATTCTCTCTCGCTGTCTGTTCTACAGGACTTCAACACAACTCAGATCAAGAACACGTGATTAGCCTGACCAGAACGTAACTATATTCCCACACCAAAAACCGACAACAATCAATAATAAGGATAAGAGAATATATAACTCATCGAAAGCTTAATGAGTTGGTTTGCTAAATAAACTGTTATTAATGACCAAATCGTGACATGTTTTGCCTAGTGTGATTTCCCTTATATTAAAGATCGGTAACTAGCAGTGAAGTATCGGACTCATTTGTTGTTTAATTTTGAAAACCTGTCAGCTGGATTTGCCAAGACCAGAATCCATAGGTGTTCATTTTACAATCTGTACTTTGAGTATGTCTCCAACAGAAACAATTTTCTGTTGTACGTATGAAATCCATTCGGAAATTGATTCTTCGTAGCTAACGACATCAAAGAATATCACAACTCTGATATACCAATAACGACTTGGCATAAATTATTTTCAGAATCGTTTGAAGGCATCCAATGTGAAGCTCACCTTATTGGTTCACTGTTTTTTCCGTTCGTTGGGTTTAATTTAAATGGCAATGAATTCTCTGTAGCGAGAAATGGTTTCTTGGTCAACAAATTGTCTTTATTGCCAAGTATGAAACACTAAATTATATGACATTACAACAAAACCTTCACTTGATTGAACTACTCGTTTTTTAGTAATCCTTCCTCCTATGGTTGCGAACTGCGGTGTGATCCGGCTGGCGCTTCGGATGGTGCATCCACTGGTGGAGGCAACATATGCAGCATGTGCGGTTCTAGTGCATATGATGGGCACGATCATCTTCACGACACAAGTCCTGACCATCATTTCTATGAACCGTACTCACAATTAAACCAAGATATTTCATCACCTGATGACTCAGGTGTTAGTAATTTAAGATTGATGATCAATGGTGGAAGGTCCGAGAACAAATTAGAAGGAAGTAAGCTCGTTTATTTGACTACTTTCTATTTTGATAGTGATAATTATATATTCTACTATATATACAGAAATCTCTAAATAGGTATTTCGAAATACCTTACTGCGTAACATAAGCATTACATTAATAGTACATTATATTGGTAATTACGTTTTCTTGGCTAAATACAAAAAGTGGAAATCTCTGATGTAATCCCGTAACGTCTAAGCTTTTACAAAATTTATTACGATTTCTTCAAATTCTGTGTATTATTTGTGGCCAAATACTTTCACTATAGTAACAGTCTCTAAAGATAAAAATCAGTTTAATGTACTGTTACTTTTGTAAAGTTAAGTGAGGATAGGATAAGCTAGGTCCTCAAATACAACGCAGCGAACACCAGCATTATCACACTTGGTAGAGAAACTTTGCAGATGACCTGGCTCTTCTATCCCATACTGCTAGGTTTGAAGCTATCACGAGTTCACTTAATCTGCGAACGAGAAACAAGACTCGGTGACCAAAGACCAGTAAGCTAGCTATTGATGCGTCCGAGCCCCACTATCTAGAGGGAGAAGTTCAAGCTTAGAATGGGAAGTATATTCTGCAACAGCCAGAAAACGAGCGATCACAACAAACACAATTTAATATATATATATATATATATATATATATATATATATATATATATATATATATATATAATCGAGCTTTTAAACACTTAATCGATAAGTTCGTCAATCGACTATGTGCATACAAGCTCCACAAAGATAAAATTACAAAATATGAGTTTTGGAGATCTATCGTCCCCAACAAATGCAAATGAAAATAGCCAGTGTATTAGAAGCCTCTGCATCAGTAGGGTTCAACATACACAGGGGAGAAAGCAAGGTCCTCAAATAAAACATAGAGAACACCAACATTATCACACTTGATAGAGAAACTCTGGAAAAGGTGAAAACTCATGTGTCCGGGAGGGTCTGACGCAGACTTAAATGCAAAAATTAGCAGAGCAAGGGCTGCATTCTCACAGTTGAAGAACATATGGAAATCAATACCACTACTAACCAATATCAAGGTTACAATCTTCAATACGAACGTCAAAACAAATCAGCTCCCAACTGAAGAGAAAATCAAGGAAGGACCCTGGATGTGACATACATTACGGAAATCATCAAATTAGCTACGTGTATGTAAAACTTCCTAAGCACCACGCCAATATTTGCGACTTTGCGTCAGGTACAGTACCTATCACAAGTGGTAATCCAACGCAACTTCTACGTTTCCAGCTACTCAGTCTAGATACTAGGTCGAAAAATTCCGTCACATACATTTTGTATTTTTAGACTCATCATGTATCCTAGAGTACTAGATCACAATACAATACAAAATCATTTGCTTACTGTATGTGCAAACCCATGATTTCAGCATTGCATACACGAGAAAACTCCCCAATCACTGACAAACTTTACTTTCTAATATGTCTTGTCGATTGAACGCTACTTGTTATATCTAGTTGTCGCTGATTGTTATGTCGGAATTGCTTATCACTTATACTTGTAAAGCGAGGAATTACTGCGACTCCCACGACACGAAAGTAAGAACACAAAGACTGGTATAATAAGTGAAGATTTATTAACCCTCCAAACACGACGACGACCCTAGTCGGAAATACATTATATATTGATTCATATACCATTTTTGATTAATAATTAGAATAAAATCTCATAAAAAATACCCAGGGTTATAATAAATCATATGTTCAGTATAGTTCATGTTGATTTAATACAAGAATATCGTGTCATATGGCAAAACAGAAACAAATACTATACTGGATAATCGTCACATTGAAATAAAACAGAATTAATGTTGAATAAAAATCATGAGTAAATCAACTCATATCACTTTATATAAGCGTTAAAATACTTTCTCTTTTTTTACTAGATGTCAATGTGTCAGATCAAGAGTGGCAGTCTAGTGCGCAATCGAGATTTGCCTATATGAACTTATACACACAATCAACGAAAGCATTCTGAATTCAATTTCCTGCACACTTCTAACCCTTTCAATTTGTTTGTTACATTCATCGTTTTCGTTTTGCGTAAAGCCTTGTATATAAAAGACTTCACTATGTACATAGACTTTTTATATGCTAATCGAGCAAAACTACCACCATCATCATAGGCAGCATCAGTACAAGCACTAGAGCCAGAAAATCAGTTTGGAAATTCTCCGGTCGTTAGCTTATTTGCAGTAAGTGTAGTTGTGGCAATACATCTGCAATAAAAGCATGTCTCCCGGACGTGACTCATTCGACTCGTACGCTTCAAATGGACAACAGTTATGAAAACAGTCTGGCCGACTACATGTACGTCATTCCACTTTCCGTAGGACGCGTCATCGAATTTAATATACCATCTTACTACACCTGATCGTCATCACTTAGGAATGCAGACCATATTATCACACTTGAAATTGTCTGATCTATAACTTGGGTAGGTTACATGGAATGCACTAGTCATGGGAGAAAGGTAGAAGCCAGCTAATAACTGCTTTTAGTTCCTATACATAGAAATCACGTGACTACGATCAAGAAATTTAAAATAGGAAGATATTCGTTGGGTTCTACAACATTTCAATAGGAACGGCTAAGTTTATCACATTTAAAATGCGCGATACGCCGTCCTTCGAACCACAGCAGACTGTTTGAAGTCACGGGTTCGCAAATAAAAGACTGACATCCTGGATTGTCTTTAGTTAATACAAAGTCAATATCGAGTAGTGTCTGTCCAAAAGTGTGAAGTATTCAGTACTTTCATTTTGAAAATCCATTCCGCAGCTCAGACCATAGCTTTTTGCCTCAAGATAGCCACTTCCTGTCTCAAAACTATTCGTACACTTACCCTATACTGATTTGTTTGGGCAAAATATCAGCTACGCCCCACTGCCGCTTTCTGATAAACAAGAATTCATACTACTTTTGCAAAAGTCTCCAGTTTGGGGCGTCAAGGCAGAACGGGAAACCAGGCTGTAAAGATGGACCATGTCCTGTATTGTATAGGTCTCTTGTTTTTCTCACTTCATATAGGTCACACGCTATGAATAAGCAACCTAACTGTTGAGCAATAAGCGTGTCATCAACAGTTTTATCGGTCTACATTTTAGGGTTACTTTGGCTGTACGTACCCACATACGCTGCGAGATTAATCTTGTCGAAATAGCTCAAAATTTCGGATCAGGATATAGTGATTGCATCTAGCAGATGGTCACAACTTAGTTCAATCCATACTTATGCGTTAGTGTACTCAACGTCGAACCTTTACTTCAACGAACATTTCGTATGACAGATATACACCAGATAATCGTACTAGTTGTAATTTCTAATCCGAAAACCAAAACAACCTGGGAACGTTTCAAGATTACTACGAAGCTACCTACCGCACCATGTTTCATACTATTTAAGAAATTTGTTACGATAGTTTATATAACATATACTTCTGGGATTTTTGTAAGACGTGACGACGAATGATATGGACGGAGGAATCGCGTAAATTAAACAAACTACTCTCGAATGCATGTTGACCGAACGCTGCACCCAGCTCACTCCGCATAAATTGGTTATTTTGCTCCACGATATCTGAATAACGGGCAACAATTTGTGATGTAAGCTAGCCCACCATGTAAGTACAACTGAATCTTTGAAAACGGATCATCTTGTGACATCTGAATTGATATCACCTTATATGACACATAGTGATGGAGAAAACATTATAACACCACAACAATATATTTCTTGCATTAATGACGCTCCTTAAGAATTTGGTATGCTAAGCGGTCCAAATCACGCCTTCCAGTTGATGTAAGGGATCTCCCGCTGAAATTAAAGTTTGAAGAGTCATCTTTAAGTTTCAACGTTATTCAAAATATGTTTAATCAATTAGAAATCAGAACGCACAAACGTACATTATTTTAGAGGAATACTCATTGTACAGAGACACAGTAATGTCACCGGCAGAATCGAAGATATAGAATCTTGCAAGTCCACGACTCAATGGAAAATCTCCTAGTAAATACAATCGAGTTCATCAGAACTACGTATCTCTAGTACATAAAAAATTTCCTATTGACGCATTGAGTTGTCTGTGTTGAAAGATACACTCTTACACAAATACCGACCCTAGCAATAGCGCAGACGTCCGTAAACGTTCTAAATTTACATGAATAGGTTTTCAAAATCTACCAGATATAATCTAGTCAGAGCTACTGTCCCCAAAATTTATCACTGAAACAGCCATATTTGTAAATATTTAATGGTGACCAGCGCGATCGCACATACAGTAATTAGAGCAAATTGAACGTGGTGTTTATCTATTCCCCTAACCTCAAGATAGTTTATTTTATTTAGAGATCACATGTATGGCAAGTGTTAAGCTTACCCATTTTCACGCTTTTGACACATTCCGAGTGCCTCCATTTGTTGAATGGCTTTCCTTATGACCGAGCAATGTGCCAGGGAACGATGAGATGGTTTGACGCCATTGCGCTTCTTTCTAGAGAATGCTTTGCTTAAGCCAGTCAAACCAGTAGGTCTTATGTATAAATGCCGCAGGATAGCGGCACATCGAATATAAAACCAATCAGGGCTATATGGTGCTAACTGGTTGGCTGAAGATAGTTTCACCACGTCCGTCCATTCAGGGAGCCTTACCTTACCGGTTCTACAATGCAATAAGAATTGTTATACGTCTTACTTCTTTAGAAACTGAGCCAGAGCTTTGATATATACGTGACCATCTACGTCTTTCACGGAGACAGGAGCCTGAATAATAAAGTTCGGTAGTCACAGAACAACTTACCATGCTATCGGATAACAAGTCCGCCAACTGGATAATATTGATACAAACACGTGAGGCACCAAATGACCAATGAACAATTTCTTTTTGTCAAAGATTTATAACCAAGCTGAGTTTATTCTCCAAGAGTTCATTTAATTCTCTATAATTCTGTAATTATGAAATAGAGTTCTTATAACGTTATATTTTGACTTCGAAATTCAAAAGTCATCACATGGATGTTCTGTTTAGTATCAAATGAAGACAAATAATAGCGGATCTAAACCCTTTTACAATGAATTTATTTGTTTGATGTATGAGTTTTGACGCGAATGAATGCAAAACCACGCATAAGCTATACATTTATTTTTGAAAATAATGAGTAACATTCATAACGTTTATATTAGGAATAGGCTAAAACCAAAAGAGACTGAAGTTTAGAGCTTCACAAAAAGTTATGTGTGAAAATAATGAACTGGTAATTGATTTTATATATTGTAATCATATTATTGATGAGAGAAATACTTCCATAAAATTGATTCTTATTATTTCTAGGTGTCATCTCTGCTGCCAACATGCAATATAGGGCAATTGTTTACTAGTACCTCGACAAATACACGTGGTAACATACTTGTCCACTCTGACTCAGTAAAGCATGATAATAGTGGTAGTAATAATACTTTTTTACAGACTTCTAGATTTTGTGCATCAGCCATCCCATCCATAACTTCATTCACAGACTTTGCAAGCTATAATTACCCCGCAATTTATGCTCATACAACTTATCATTATAAAGGCAAACAGAATCTAATCTTCACAAGACCTGCTACTACTACTTTCCACACTAACTTATCTTCATCTTGTTTGTTGACTTCTCGAATATGTTCCTCCTCGTCGTCGTCGTCATCGTCATCTACAAATATGAGCTGTGCGGTGCATGCAGACGTACAGACACTCAATAACTATAAAGAATCATCTGTTATTACATCAATCAACAGTAGCTGCCCAATTGTACATCAACTACATCACCGGGAATAGCAGCAATAACCGCCTGCTGATATAAAGTAATTCACTACATTCATTGTCGTTATAATTATACACGAATTTATGAGTGTTTTTCCTAACTTTAAATGAAGATACATGTACCTGTGAGATATATATTACTTTTTTTCATGAAAATAGCGTTATATTAAAAGAGAGAGGTTTCATTATTGTTTGCTTTTTTATTGGTAATTCTTCTGATACCTGTTAAACAGTTAGTAAATTCCCGTAAAGTTGGCAAATATTTGAAGTTGTTCGCGTTCAATACAAGTATTGGTTGGACCCATACTCACCATGTTAATGCATCATATCAATATCTATAACCTCCAATCAGATTTTATGATTATACCTAACCCGTATGTCACAATCGTAGCCTAAATGTTGATAAGCCAAGAAAAATTACTTCCTTTTTGATAATAAATAGTAATGACTGTATTCCTAACTAAGTTTCCATTGAACTCCCTTCAGCATCATCCTCTCACGGGCGTATGCGGCTCTACCCAAGAGAGAAAGCAAAGACAGGGAAATGACTACGCAACAGATTAGATCAGTTGCACGAACAACAGAATAGGTCTGAAGTAATAAACCGGAAAATTATTTCACTACTGGACCACTAGGCTCGTTCGTCGACATTTGTATTGTATCATCAATTGTTGCTGATAATCATTTACGTTGGCGGCTTAAGCAACAAATGTACCTCAGGTGTCATGACGGTCCGAACGTTGCTAATCTTGATCACACCTTTGTACGTTTTTAGAATTTCCCTTACCGATAATACCAAAGACTAACGGGTCCTTCAGTGATAATTTTCCCACTGTTCATTCCCCAGTTCTCATTAGATCTGTCAGTGTCAGATTTTTTGTGAGTTCACAAGAAGTGCGTTCTTGAATTTGACTACCTTTCAAAACTTACTGCGTGATAATTACATCGATTTATCGGTAACTTTTATTTTCCTAACTTGACTGTGCTCATTGGAATACGGCTTTCGATCAAACGTTAGTGGAAGTTTACGGTATTTTGCATTTCCCCTAGTTGTTGGTGTTCGTAGTTTTACAACGGCTGTCTATTTTTATAGCTTTTATCTACCATCTTAATTGGATGTTTTCCTGAACTCTATCCAAATACTAAGGGTTTTGCGTAAATATAACAGTTTGATTCAGAATATTGAGTCTTCTAAGTTAAGTAGTATATGTTTGAGATCAATATGATTTTCACGTTGCTTTGCCATGCGATTCCGGGTTACGTCGATCTGTAACAGCTTCGTCTTTAGAAATGGTATATGATCAATATCAGTGTTGAATAACGAATGCAACAAAACAAACTAGAACTGAACGATCGTTCTCACTAAATTTGGGCTTAGATCTATCACACTAATTTCATGCGTTTTCGTGCATTACATTTGCCCACGGTTTTCTGAACTATCATCTTGCCTGCATACAGATTTTCTAGTGACAATGTATCCCCACACTTCCGGTTTTTCGTGAGGCAGTTTTACCTTTTTGAAATCAACAATTATTGGTATACTATTGGAACGCTTTTAATAAAAGTTCTCAGTGTAAATATCTATTTGGTAAGCAATGTTGTGATTTTGTTCAGAGCTGATTCTTTCGATTCGATAACTTTATTTTGATACCAGGCAATTGTAAACAATCGGGCAAAACCCCTAAAGGTTCTGGCACAGATAAGCCAAAACTACTGATACCCCACACCGAAAAGTGTCGATTAGCACTAAATCTGGAAGTAATGCTTCTTATTGGCTGTTTCTAACCACAATGCGGATCCCCCTTTTTTCAGTGCTAACCTAATTATTTACCGTTAGCGTTATTTAAATCCGACCTCATTAACCTGACTCCGGTCATGTATGCTTCATATGTCTGAAGTTGTGCGCATAAACCTTCGGGATAAATAATCTGAATTATGAAGGAGCGTCCTGTCATGCACTTATTTTGTAATTGTCATAACATGAAAGCTGACTTAACTTCCGTCACCAATGTTTCATAAAAATTGAACAAGATTAGTATGGGTTTTAAAGTCAAATTACTAACTCCTTCCATTCATTATCATCTCAACATCATACTTAAAGAGTTCCAATAATGTCACCTTTCAATTCCGTTGAACTAAAAACCTTCAATAGTTAATGAACTAAAGTTTAGCCTGAATAAACATGGTACCTAGTTAACTTATTAAGAAGAGAGTTTTCATAATATTATTATACGAATGTACAAGTGATTATGGGATCAGTGTTATCTTATGATAGAGAAGCATGGACTGTACGCTCTAGCTGACAGACTGTGACGGTAAATTGATTCCAAAGACAAGAAGCTTAATAAGCCTTCGATGTTGACTCTGTTCCTTTTAGTTTTACTGGACACATCTAACTAAAGGCGGTAGTTCAACTATCCTTTCTAAATCACGTCTGGATGCTTCTTGCAGCATATCTCTTATGATATCTAGTCAGCTCAGAATCCATACACTACGATGCATCGACCTGTAATTCAAGCACACTTTCATATCCTATGATTATCGATTTCTGGTTCCATTAACTTAAGGATCATATTGAAACTATCCTCAAACTTTTAGCTACTGTACATTTTTGGTTTGTCTATCACAAGATTGAGTGAGAATTTTCTGGACATTTGATGTGCTCTCAAAATGAAAATAATTCTCAATTTTATCATGAGTTGATTTAGTTCTTTTAGATCCAGAGCATATTTTGTCAATCATAGCTTAAATTGTTGCTGCCTAGCATTCTTGATTTGTTTCGTTGTACTCTATGTTATTTCTGAGATCTGCCATTACCTTGAGTACATTTTTGCCGTCTTCTGGTAATTAGCAAGATCTTGTGCAGTTTTTACCACATATATGTCACATTTTCGAAAGAATCACCACATATCGACGACCTTCAAGGCTTAAATCTCATTGGCTGTGTACATTTTGGTGTTAGAGGAAATCATTGCTGAATAAAGAGGCTGTAGATCCGTCCTTATGGAAGACGAGGATTAACGGTAGTGGGCACGTGTGCAGACCGTGGGGATACTGACAATGTCGTAGGTTCAGTGACATGGAGCGCAATAAGAGATTTAACTGTGGGACGTTAGTTTTTGTTGAATTACACTTACTATGAGGTCTTGCAGATAGACATCTTTCGTAGATGAAGTTGACTTTCTGTCAACGGATCTAGAGTAAGAGTTTCCACTTCCAGAGCTTCCTCATGAAGTTTGACTTGGTTGGTATTCGCTTTGTATTTTAGGATATTGCTTTTTCTCATGTGAATGTTAAGGCCTGCTGCTGTAGAGACTGCTACTACTTTGGCTGTCTTCACCCGTGTTTGTTGCTGTGAATGGGATAGAGCGGCTAAGTCACCTGTGAAGTTCAAATAATCTAACTGCACCCAAGCTATCCACTGTATTCTGTGATTCTTCTGAGATATGGAGGTCTTCATGATCAACTTAACCAACGGAAGAAAGAGAAAGGGGGAGAATGAGCAGCTTTGTCTGTCATTGGCCTTCACTTGGAATACATTTTTGAACTGCCCTCCACGCATAACTTTGCATTGTAGTCTGTTGTAAGAATTCCGTACGATTGTGACAATCTTCTCAGATAGATCATAGTGTCGAGGAAGGTCCCATGAGGTTCTCTTATCCACTCTGTCGAGTGCTTTTCTATAGTCAAGTAAGTTGGTGCGTAGTGATGAGTCCCACTCGATTAATTGTGTCGCCATTTGGTCGATGCATAGTCGATCCTTAGAAAATCCAGCACGTTTGTCTAGAAGTTGAACCTGTACTGAATCTTTCATTCGGTTTAACAACACCGTTTTTGGAACAATTCCAAGAAAGCATCACCTTTGGGATAATGAATAAAATTTGTAGCCTTGATGAACGCTATTAGTGACGCTGAGTCTTCCAACCCAAATGGCTTAGTCGCAGAGCATTCATTGTCATTCTAAACAATGTCTTCAGCACCTACATGAAGTATACTTGACTAACACTGTCAATTCACAGTAAATTTATTTTTCTATCTCCAACCCAAATGTGTTATCTAGAAACTCCAAACATATTGCTGATTGTTAGGATACCACAAGTCAGAATAGATGGTGATGTGACTTCCGTGTTAGATCTTATAAATTAGGTTTTCACATCATGACAAATCTACAATTTTTGGATCAGGTGTATTATTCCGGTAATATTGATTAGTACACATAGATTACTATCTCAGTTAATATTAAT